TGGCGAGAGGATAATATAACATAACCCCTACCCTCTTGCTTTTCTACCTATTTATGCCATTATTTCAACACTGATTCACAGCTGAGAACCTGGGAATAAAACTATGGTGGGAGAGGACATGGACATGAACTAGGGTAGAGGAACCAAAACCAGAGTGTTAGAGAAGATTCCAGAGATATCCTTGTGATGGCACCCATAGGACAGGATGACCAAGTGGACAGAGGGCTGAGGGAGAGTGTGGGGTCAGGAGTGAAGAGGGTTGAGAAGAGGATGGACCAGGCAGGCGCTTATAGGCAGGAAGAAGAAGAAAAAAAGAAGATACCCACCCAGCACCTGGGATATGTGTGGGGGATGTGCAGTGGTTAGTAGAAAAGAGGAAAGCTCTCAGGGGAGAGCTGTACCAGAGTGACTGGGGTGTGGGAGGTGCACAGACACACAGGAAGCACCTGAGAACACACGGAGGATGAGCCAGTGAGGCTACCCTGATGGATGGGGAGAGGACACAGACAGCCACAGGTGAAGGCAGAGCCAGGTGTGAATTACCTGTGAGTGTGAATTATCCCAATGACCATGTGTGTCCACCACGGTGAATTGTCGGCACTCCACCCTTTTCCTAAGAGGCATCCCACCCCATTCCTCACACCACTTCTAGCTGTGGGTTTTTCTCCAGACGAGACTTCAACGGTGTAAAAAATTGAGCCTCAAACACGCAGTCATCATTGCATACGTGAGATAGCTTTTTTTTTTTTTTTTTTTTTTTATTTATTTATTTTTTTTTGAGCGAAAGTAAATGTTTATTACAGAAAAGCTCCCTAGGGACCCAAGTGGGTTGTCTTGTAAGGCTGCTTTCTAACTGGTCTCCTTTTTATCTTTCCTCACACTGATTCATCCAACACTATTACCAAATCAACATTCCTGAAACCCTGATTCCATGTAATTTCTCTGCTTTAAAAATCTCTGGTGGCCTTAAGACTCCCCTTGACCCTAGCCTACCTTGTACTTACTGTGAAGTGTTAACAGTATAAGAGTCAGGCAGTTCAAATTTGAACCTGGGTCTACCACGCACTAGCTGTGGAACCCTGGGCAAGTGATGAACTCCTCTGTGCCCCCTCAGCTGCTCATCTCTAAAATGTGGCCAATACCCACATCACAGAACTGTTCTTATAAAGAGAAAATCTGTATAAAGTGCTTACTTAGCACACAATGCCTGGCATAGGAGTGGCATCCTTTAAATGTTAGCCATTATTATTTCTACTCCCCAAATAAACTTCCTATGCCACGTGGGATGTTTGCCTTGATGATTTCTAAACAAACAATGCTCATCTCAGGGCCTTTGCTGCTGGCGTTCCCACCCATGAACCACCACCAACCACCAAAGGGTATTCACCCAACATTTATGCTCCATATCCAAGGTGCTGGGCTGGAAATACAGGAAAAATAAACAGTCCCAACCCTCAGAGCTCATAATCCAATAATGAGGGACAGAGGAAGAGGTGCAATAACGTGGTACAGGTGCCAAGGGAAGCGAGCACTTCCTGGAGACAGTGGAGATGCCGACACCAGATCTTAGAAGCCGTGGGGGTGAATTAGGCAGAGGAGGAGCATGTGGAGTAGGAGCATCTAGTACCAGGGTCATGGTCACAGCGCTGGGCCAGGCATGGGGGCAGGGAGAGGGAGAGGACGGGAGACAGGGCTGTATCACGAAGGTCATGAAGTGCTCGGGCTTTCTCCTGCAGGCAACAGGCAGCCACTAAGTGATACTAAGTCAGCAGCCCTGCTTGGCCTCTGTGCTGCCCAATACGGAAGCCACATGACTACTGAATGCTTCAAATGCCCTAGTGCCAGGGTCGGCAAACTGCGGCTAGAAAGCCACATGCGGCTCTTTGGCCCCTTGAGTGTGGCTCTTCCACAAAATACCACGGCCTGGGCGAGTCTATTTTGAAGAAGTGGCGTTAGAAGTTCAAGATAAAAAAATGTGGCTCTCAAAAGAAATGTCAGTCGTTGTGCTGTTGATATTTGGCTCTGTTGACTAATGAGTTTGCCCACTACTGCCCTAGTGTGACTGAGGAACTAAAATTTTAATTTAAATTAAGTTGAGAAACTAATATGTAATTTGGTTACTGGAAAAGTTTTAAGTATGCTCGGAATAATTGTGTATGTGACTACTTTCTCAAGTGCAGGTAAGTATTTCTGATGAAAATTTAGCATTTAAATTGAGAAGCGCTGTAAGTGTAAAAAATACACACCAGACTTTGAAAACATAGTTCAAAAAAAGTTAATGATCTCATTAATAATCTTTATTGATCAACCACATGTTGAAGTATTTTGAACTGATTAGGTTGACGATGACATTCAAACTAATTTCGCCTGCTTATTTTTACTTTTGAATGTGGCTACTAGGACCCGTGGAATGGCATCTGTGGCTCCCATTGTACTTTGGAAAGAACTGATCTGCTACAGCCCGGGATGGATGGAAGAGGAACGAGAGTGGCAGCAGGAAGAACGACAATAGACTCCTTGGTAAGAGTCCAGATGAGACGGGCCTGAATTACCTAAATTCTACGCAGCTTCAAAACCGAATTCACGGCTTCATACTGCCTCCCAAAGCTTTTCCAGTCATAACCATCCCTAATGAGTCACCTTTCTCCAAACTCCTGGGGCATTTATCTTCTGTAGTATCACTTCAGCACGTCATCACTTACCACCTGTCATTTCTGCTTAAGTTTTGTGATCAGCTGTTTCTCAGATCAGACTATCAGCTCCTAGGGTAAGGGATCTTTAATTTTTCTAGGCATCTTTAATTTTTCCACGTTGTGTGATGCATTTTCAGTACTTTTAATGAGCAGAAGTGCATGGCTTCTCAGATACTTTGTCACATATACAATCCGGAGGCACCCATGTGCCTAACTTTATCTATATACAGCAGGAGATATTGAAAATCTCACTTCCCTCAGGCACATTACAGACAATAAAATGATGTCAAAATAAACCAAAACTCCAGGCCAATGTTCCAATAAAGCAGTGTTATCTGATCAGTGAGCAAACATCAGGAGACTGGATCGGATACTCTCAGGAAATAAAAAATGTCAAGATGGCAGAGCAATTTAACATTTTCACAAACTCCATTAAAAATCAAACAGAAAAGTTCTCATTCTCTCTGATCCCCAGTGCCGGAGATTACCTTTGCAACCTAAGCATTTAAGAACTTTCATTCAGGGGGAAAACACACAGCTTTAACATTTAAAAACCAATCCCTAAATCAATCCTTTTAATAAATAACACATTTTCCAGATAGAGAGTGACGTATGACTAAAAAACAAATCTACAACTTAACATTTTCCCATTTAAATTAGAGTAAGATGATGAAAACCCTTTTTAGGGAATTGCCAATAATTGTATAAGTATACTTTACTGTATCTTGGTTAATGAAGTATTTCACTTATAGTACCATTTAAATTTTTCTAAGAACCCTTAAAAAAAAAATTAAACACCCAGGCACCAGGTCAACTTGCACCACTACAGAAATAGGAAGCCAGTAGCAACCAGTGGAAAGCAAAGGGACGCTGGATGGTTATTAGTACTAACCTTCTGGGAACCTGACAGTTCTCTGACTTGTTTGACACTTAAAACATAAAGCTGACAGGTTGTAACAACATCAGAATCCATCTTCCTTGCACTTAATGGCTACAAAGCTGATGCAGAAATAAAATGCAATGAAAGTTTCTATCTCCAGACAACCCAGCAATCAAAGATGGAGTCAGGACAGCTCAAAGGGGGGGAAAAACAAGTGGGCAAACCTGTCAAATGGTCTGGGTGAAATCAGGGGCGTTGAAGAGAAAGCACTCATTTCCTTTAGCACTGTGGGAAAATCCCGGTGCGAACAGAAAGCCTAGGAAAGTTTAGTTTGGCTGATTTCATTTTGTTTTCCTTCCAACATCATCACTGAGCACGGACGACTTGCTTTCCTCCCGGCCCCATTAAAAACTCCCCCACTGAATTAAGCTGTCTTCCGGAGCCCTGCTCCCGTGCCTCCCAGAGCCACACCGCCCCCGCCTCCCAGCCTGCAAACGTGCCGGGACGCCTCCGGGCAGCTTGTGGTCCCACCAGTCTGCGGGCCGGAGCTCCGATCTCAATGGACAATGGGAGCTCACCCCCCGTCAAAGCCAACTACAAAGCTCAGGAGGGCCATTTCCCTTTTCCTGCCCAGATGCTGTTTTCCCTCCTTCGAAGCAGAGACCCGTGCTCCACTAGACTAGAGCGCCGGTGTGGGCTGGGACCCGTGCCTCCCTCCCCCACCCGCAGAGCTGCTGAACAACTCGACCCCCCACCCAAGTTACCCAGCAGCGCACAGGCCAAAGGGGACTCCCTCCCCAGGGGCTTGGACTCCTCAGTCCAGGTAGATCATGAAGAAGGGGGTGTCTCTGGACGCTTGGCCATGGCCCTGAGAGCTAAGCCGTCCCCAGGGTCCCCTCCCCAGGCTCAACTTGTCTCCCCTCCCCCTCCAGCAGGGAGAGAGGGGAGGTGCAGGCAGACAGCATCGCCACCTCCTCCACCTCCTCCAGTGGAGCCCTCGGCGACACTCACCCTTTCACCACAAAGAAGGGGTCCTCCATGGACATGGCGTCCCGGCCCCCCGGCCGCCTCCCGCCTGCTCAGCACACAGGGCGCCCGCGCCCTCCGATCTTCCCTGCCACCCCGCTCCCGCAGCCGCCGGCGCCTCGGGCCGGGGTGACCCAGAGCAGCGGGCGCGCGCAGGCCAGGGTGCACGGGGCCGCCGCCGGTCCAGCGCTCGATGGGACCGCAGATCGAATCCCAGACCCAGTGCCGGCCCCCGCGGCTGCCTCCTCCCCCGGCTCCTCTCGGGCGGGTCCGGCCTGCCTGACCCCGCCCCCGGGACGCACGGCCCGGACCAATCACCGACGCGGTCTGCTGCACCACTTCCGCACCCGCGCTCACGTGATCAGAGGATGCCCGCCCCTTAGTAGACGGGGCCTGGGCACACGTCACCGGACCCAGAGGCCGGGCTTTGGCGACGGAGGAGGAGGGCGGGTCTTCTCTCGACCCACCTCTCAGGATTCAAGGGAAAGGGCCCCTGGTCTCTCTTAAAACAGGTAAGTTTTCAGGATACGCGATGGTACCTGATTTGCACAATCCTGTCACCTTTCCTCTGTGTACTTTTAATACTTGATTTTGATAACGAGATTTATAAATCCACCTGGTCCTCGACTTACAGTAAAGCGTGCCCGTTTAGGTGATCTGACTACGACAACGTTGCACAACTGCTTTAGGCCTTACCCTGTCCGGACACGCACCAAAAGCTATTGATGCATTATCTCGATATTGGTTGGGGGAGGGATGTATTATTATTTATTATTATCCCCATTTTATAGATGAGCAAAGTAAGAGATAGCAAGATTTCCTGTGGTCACACGGCCTGGACAGAAGAGAGTCACAGGTTCTGTGCACTTTCCACCAAACCGGGGTGTAGTCTCTCTTGCTGAGCATTCTGCAAGTAACCGGTAAGGTAATTTTTTTTTCATACGATGGTATGATGCGCCCCAGGAGAGAGCACCTTTGAGGAACAAAGAAGGTGCCGGGTATGGCAACTTCCTCTCCGCTATGGCTCAAGAGTGCTTCCAGAAAGCATTTTGGTCAGAACAATTAGCCAACTCATATGTCAGCTATGCTTTAATCAGTGATGATCATTGAGCAGCGACTGTGTGTCAGGCACTGTGCTATCTCAGTTGCTCTCACCATGAGGTCATTACTGTTATTATCCCCATTTTGTGATTAATAAATCTGAGACTATTGGAGATTAAGTGACTTGACCAAAATCAGCAGTCTTTTTGGAAATGAAAGAGTCCCCAGAGCCAGACAAACCCTGTCTGAACCTGGGTTCTGTTCTTCAGTTTCTCATCTGTAAAAGGTGAGCTCATGAGTTGCCGTGAAGTGTTAATAAAAATGCACGTAACCCACAAGGTTCCAATGAAGTGAGATAGCGAAGCCAGGGAAACCAGTCAGGAAGCTGCTGTGGACATCTGGCCTGAAGGGATGAGGACCAGACAGATGAATCTGACAGATGTTTCCAAGGAAAAACAAAGCCAAACCCCGGGAAAGGAATGATGAGAGATTGAATGCGGTCAGGGAGGAGAGAGTTGGAAGTCGCAGACTAAAGACTTCTCTGAGACTGGAGGAGCAATGGTCAGATGTGGAGAAAAGAAGCTATTGGGAGAGAACTGTTTATTTGGTGGTGCACGTATTGTGATGGGGAAGTGAAAAGGGATCATCTTTCATTCATTCAACAAACATATGTAAATTGAGGAGCAGAAGAGAACAGTGCTTTAGAGCCAGACTGCCTGAATTCCCATACCAATTCTGCTACTTCCTATTGTGTATTGGGCCAATTGATTAATCTCTCACTGTCCTCAACTGTGTAATGGACACTATAAGAACATTTTCCTCATAGAACGTCATGAGGATTAAGTTAATTGGTGTGTACAAAGTGCTTAGAACAGTGCCTGACACGTGTTGTGCTCTTCCTATGTGCTAGGCACAGAAAACAGGCTTGGTCTTGTCTTCAAGGAACTCTCAGACCAGCAGGAGAGACAGGTAGTTACATATTGTACTATGAGAGAAGTGCACAGATTGCCATAGAAACACAGAGGCACCATACCAGTTGATTGTGTGTGTGTGTGTGTGTGTGTGTGTGTGTGTGTGAAGGGGGCGGGTGGTGTTTCTAAACAGTGACTAGAGGCAGCCAGGAGACAGCATGGCAGCCTGTGGGGGAGCCACGGCAGAGGGCCTTGCACAGTGGAAGGGATGGGTGGTGGCAGGAAAAGCTAGGGCTAGAGATTGACAGGGTGAGGTTATCAGGGCCCTTGATTGTAATGTTAAGAACTATGAATACCCTCCTGTAGATCATGGCACCTGAGGGAACTGATAGGGTCAGACTGGCATTTGAGAAAGATACTGTGGTGGCTGGGAGGTCAGCTGGGAGATCATGGTCCAGAGGAGGGATGAGGGTGTGCTGATGGCAAATAGGATGGGGAGTAGGAATACATTTGAGAAATAGTTTAGAGGCAGCATCATTGGACTTGGTGACTGATTGGTTCAGGGTGTTATGGGATTGGTGAAAGCAGCAGGAGGAAGGCTTGCAGGGTTTTGGAATTGGAAGTGAGTAATTGTTAGTTCCAGTCACCAGCAAAGAGGACACAGGAAGAGGATTAGATGTAAGGTGGATAGAAATTAGCACGCTGGTTTTCTCCACTAACCGGTAAACTCCTGGAGGGAGGGGAAGCTATATTAATGTTATTATCACCTTAAAGCCTAGCATAGCCTCTTATCTATTCCATGAATTTATTAATTAAACCACGAATAAGAGATCAGAGACATAGAGGATAGAAGATGGAGGCTTAGAGAATTCCCATAATTAGGGGTTTGGAAAAGGTACCAACAATGAAGAGAGTGGAGGGTTGAGGTATAATATGTATGTTGGAGTATGGGATGTTTCTTTCTTTATTATGTCACCCTTCTTCACCTTCTCTCAAACCAGACAGGATCTCGGCTTCCACTGTATTTAATCAAGGAAAACTATGATTAAAATGCAAGCATCTTTTCATGTGCTTATAAACCATTTGTATGTCCTCTGTGGAGAAATGCCTATTCAAGTTTTTTTTTTTTTTTTGCTCATATTTAATTGAGTTCTTTGTTATTGAATTCCCCCTAAATCCTTTTAGGAACAACCTCAAGTAAGGGAGAACGTATTACATAGATGTTAGGTGTTTATTATACTCTTCATCATTATCCCAATCTTTTAAAAACCCTGATATACAGATGTGTGCCCTGGAACACTCTAGGGGACATTTACTCCTGTTGGCTTTCACTGGTCCAGCCATAGCTGTCTGATGTCCCAGACCCACCCACACATAGCCACACACTGGGTATGTTGCCTTCCTTCACCTAGGCTGTAACCAGCACCTGCACCCTTACTCTCTACACCACATGTGTCAAACACAAGGCCCGCGGGCCAAATCCGTCCCGCCAGGCCTTGCAATGTGGCCCGCACCGAGCTGTCATCACTGCACTCCACTGCGTTTCCATCACAATGACAGTTTATGACTGTTCAGTAAACCATTCGGCCCGCGATTTAGGCTGGATTTTAGATTTTGGCCCCTTCTCTGATTGAGTTCGACACCCCTACTCTACACACTAGTTTGAAATAAATACTGAGCAATTCTACTCCACTTAGTACATATCCAACACTAGCAAGACATTGAGAATTTAATACCCATTTGACGGTCATTGGAAATGTTATTTAAAAGTGTATCATGACATGCAAAATTATATATATATATTATATATATATATACATTATATATATATTATATATTATATATATATGATTTCAACTCTTCGTTTTTATAAAGAAAAATATTTTAATACATAGGAGAAATTTACACATAGTAAAAAGGAAATGCATTTAAGGTCTGGCACTATGAGATCTTTGCTTCGATCATCAGGAACACAAAAATCATTTAAAAATGTTTCAGCGTTCAGAAGCTTTGGGCGTGCCCTTTGTATACTGGGAACCGCAGTTGATGCAAAGTGACGCAAGGTGACGCGACGCACCGTAAGTTCGGTTGGTCTGGGCCTCGCACAGCCTTGGTGTCGCCATGACAGCCTTGCCTAGCTGCCGTGGCCCGCAGGCCTGCGCCATGGGCATTTGGGTCAACTAAGAACGAACTGAAGCTCTGCCATTTCTCACAGGTTTGACCCGGGGCTGCGGCGGACGGATCCTTCCACTCCTCCCCTCCGGCTCTGCAAGCCGCAGGGCCCTGGTCAGGAGGGCGCCGCTGGCCGAGGCCTATACGGTCCCGCCATCGGGGGAAGGAGAGACCTTCACCCTCGTCGCCGCCGCTAGTAGCCTGGTCGGCTGACCCCGCGGAGGCTTCAGACCCAGAGTCCCCGGGCAGACAGCGTGCGAGATGGGACGGACGTCGAAGGACAAACGGGATGTCTACTACCGCCTGGCCAAGGAGAACGGCTGGCGCGCCCGCAGCGCCTTCAAGCTGCTACAGCTCAATGAGGAATTCCGGCTCTTCCAGGGTGTGACGCGGGCGGTGGACCTGTGTGCGGCCCCCGGCAGCTGGAGCCAGGTGCTGAGCCAGAAGATCGGGAGTCCGCAGGGCTCCGGCCATGTGGTGGCTGTGGACCTTCAAGCTATGGCTCCGCTACCAGGCGTGTTACAGATCCAGGGGGACATCACCCAGCTGTCCACTGCCGAGGACATCATCCGGCTCTTTGAGGGCTGCCCGGCCGACCTGGTGGTGTGCGACGGGGCTCCCGATGTCACCGGCCTCCATGAGCTTGATGAGTACATGCAGGCCCAGCTTCTCCTCGCCGCTCTGAACATCGCTACACACGTTCTGAAGCCCGGGGGCTGCTTTGTAGCCAAGATCTTCCGAGGCCGGGATATGACGCTCATCTACAGCCAGCTGCATGTCTTCTTCTCCAGCGTGCTCTGTGCCAAGCCCAGGAGCAGCCGGAAGGCCAGCAGCGAGGCCTTCGCCGTCTGTCAGGGTTATGCGCCCCCTGAGGGCTTCCTGCTGGACCTGACCAAACCCCTGCTGGACCGCTCCTACAATAGAGGTCTCCACCAATTAGATGGTCCCGCCCACAGCATTGTGCCATTTGTGACCTGTGGGGACCTGAGCTCCTATGATTCAGACCTCGGTTACCCACTAGACCCGGAGGACGGCTCAGAGCACAAGTACACACCACCCGTGCAGCCTCCCCCCCTCCCCATCTCACCCCTGTGCCAGCGGGCCTGCACATTGAAGAAGAAGGGGCAACTGGCCAAGGAGATCTATCCCCAGGACTGCGCCATCAACACAGTGGACACATTGCCCCAGCCCCTGTCTGCCCCACAGCCTGATGGCCTCTGAGGTGGAAGACAGTAAAATGAATTGTTCACCTTAGCACATCAAGCTGGCGGTCTGTGACAACTCGGCAGCTGTTTGGTATCAGGAGAACCAGAATTTGCATCAGTGCACTTGTTTTTCAAGCAAGTTCTCGTCAGTGGGTCCTGACCACAAGCTTCGAGTGAGAACTTGGCAATGACCACCATGAACACAGCCAGGAAAGAAACATCATGGAATGTTCATTTGAACTGCAGAAGGGGTTTTTGACTGAGATTTTTCCTAGCGGGATCCATGAATTTGATGGAGGGAAATAGTATATCTTTATTTTCACTAATGTAACTGAAAGTTAGCCTTATTCCCAAATAGGAATTTAGCAGTAAATAGGTTCATTTTTAAGGCAGAGTTGTTACGGGCATCATGAAACACTGTTCATGTTTGTCACTAATTGGAATTATGGGATATCTGTTAATTTGATCTAATAAAAAAGGCCATTGTTACTAAAAAAAAACCTTTTTTTTAAAGAGAAGTGAGAAAGCCAAGTAACCACACATGCAAAAGAACATCAGAATTTAGCAGTTTTAAATGTTTTTTTTGGAGTAAGGCAAGTTAGGAATGGATTTTGGCGAGTATTAAAAGTTAAAATATATTATTTGAATTCAGTGAACTTCTTGATGAAACTGAATTTGAACCATTGTAGGAGGGCAGATATGCTCTTTACCTATGAACTTGTCAAAGTGCATGGAGAAGGGAAACCACAATCTCTTGGTAAACTAGTGAATAACAGCAGAGCACTAATGATTGCTAATATTTCCTTACTATGAGCAGACATTGTGCTAAGTGATATACTAGTACATGCATAATTTTCAGAAGCAGCTCCAGAATTTCTACATAGGCCAGTTTTAGAATGTAGCTTAAAAGTTTGGACAGCAGGGCTAGGAGGCTTGGACTGGGGATACATGGCAGACCTACTCTCTTTTCTTAAATTAGTTTATTTGGGATGGCTCAAGAGGGCTGATGGTGATTATCATATATAATAAAAAGCTAATATGCTCATTAGATCAGAACGACCATCTGGATGACCTTCCGGACAAAGCCAGGGCTGTGAGGGCTGAGCCCCTTGCACAAATTTCTTGCATAGGGCCTCTAGTGTAATTACCATGGATTTAGTGACCTAAAAGCCACAAATTTATTCTCTTGCAGTTCTGGAGGTCAGAAGTCTGAAAGTGGGTCACCTGGGCTAAAATCAAAGTGCTTGCAGGGTTCCATTCTTCCTGGAAGCTCTGTGGGAAAATCTGTTCCCTCTCCCACCAGTTCTAGGGGCCCTCTGCATTCCTTGGCCATGTCTCCCTTCCAGCATTGGCATTACTTCAACCTTGCTTCTGCTGACACGTCTCAGACTCTGACCCTTTTGCCTCCCTCTTATAAGGACCTTGTGATTTCATTGGGCCCATCAGATAATTCAGGGTAATCTGCTCATTTCAAGATTACTAATACAACCATATAGGCTAAGTCCCTTTTGCCACATAAAGTAACCGTTACAGGTTCTGGAGATTAGTATGCTCTTATCTTTAAGATTGTGTGTGTGTGTGTGTGTTGGGAGGGGGGGGGGGCAGGGAATTTAATAATGATAGTAATAATAATTTTAAAAGATTAAGAACAGGTTTGAAACAAGCATACCAAAAGGACCAAACAGTACCTGAAGTCTAAGATGACCAGACATCCCGCTTTTGGCAGGACAGTCCCAATTTTTAACAATATGTCCCGCGTCCCACGGCGTTTTAAAAAAGTCCCGATTTTTGGAAAGAATGCATGACAAGCTAGGGAACGGTGGGAGAACAAGAAGGGAATATACGGTTTTCGGCGGCCATGTGGCTATTTAGCCAGGATATGAGTTTTAAATTATTTTGTTAATTTTATAATGTTAAACTTTAATAATAATAATTGTTGAGAACTGATTATCGAGAACTGCTTATCAAAGTTCACATTGTTGATCAGTTGTTAGAATTTGACTACCATTGTTTGGACTGAATGAACAATGGCATTTTTTGGGATTGGCAATGACGAAAACATTTTGTAACTATCTCTCAGACGATACACATCGTACTGCGTGCTAGTAAGCTAGTTAAACAAGTGATGTCATTACAAATCAGCTATTCAGATAATTTAGGTAAGTAATTTATTTCATAAATACATAAATTTTCTTGAATTTAGCAGACAGTACTCGTATTATTTATATTTTATAGTGGCGGCAAAAAGTCTAGCGCTGGCCCTGAAAGTGACACGACTTACGTTATGGCAAATTCAGAGGAAAAATAATACAAGTTAGTATTGTTATTATTTAGAAAGAAATATAGGATTAAAATTAAAATAATTTTAAAAATATAATTACTTTATAACAAATTAATTTAATTTATAAACTAACAATAAAATATGTTCATGTAGTAATTATGTACCTACTTACTGTGTTTTTAAGCAATATGTATATAATAATTTATAATATAATTTAATATAGACCAAATTTTTAATCAAGAACCTCCCCACTCCCCCAACCCCCAGTCAATGGTGTCCCCCTTTACCAATATTAAAATCTGGTCACCTTTCTGAAGCCACCAAAGGGTTAAAAGTGAAGCCGGAAGCGCTCATTTTTCTTTATTCTACCTAGCAACTGATGACACTGCAATATCCCCTGTTTCTATTGGGAGAGGGCCCCGAGCTTCCAGCAGTTTCTACACCCTGAAGAGTGGGCGGAGTTTGGGTTCCTGAAAGGTCCGCTGGGACCTGTCTGTGTTTTGGTGAAAAGAATCTGAGAGAAAGGACTTTAGAAGGGCCGATGGTGCTCCTGTTACCCCTCCTTATTGTATTTACGGTGAAGCACAGCGCTGCCCGTGAGTATCCCAAGTTCTCTCTGCTCTGAACTCCGAGCTCCGAAGCCGAGGCCACCGAGGGGGGACAGCTTGTCCTCCTAAAACTCATGGCGAAATGTGGAAGAAGTTGGGCGAAAGACATATTTAATTCACCCGGGACGTGTCGGAGGCTGGACTGGTGAACAGTGTCCCAGCTCACCCGGGCGGGATGTTGGTGTCACCCCCTCCTGACGGGGCGGAAGCCAGGCTGGAGGGACCCTCCCTCCGGGGTCTCCCTCACGTTCCTCCTGAGCATTGCGCCCTGTTTCCTGCTCAGACCCTTTCTTTTTCTTCTGTTTCTCCTCTTCACTGGCTTCGCGAGTCCCGTGGGACGTGGCCAGAGTCTCAGGGGCCTGGGACAGCGGAGCAGAGTCATTGTGCCGGTTTGTTTTTCTTCCTCACCACGAGCTCCACCTGTAACAAAAGGTCCCCGAGAGAGAAAGCCATGGTTGTGGGCTTGCTTACTGGCTGTGAGAGAGACCAACGGAGCCTAGGGGGAGTTTCTCGTGGTTTAGGGGCCCGGGTCACCGGGGAAGCAGGTGCCTGCCGTTACCCCAAAAGCCTGAGGAGGTCCATGGGCTGGAAGCACCAGGCTTCTGTACCCCAAGCAGCTTCTCTTCCTGCCCGGGCCCGCACTCCCTGGACGGCAGGTGTCTGGAACTGTATCAGCCGCCGCAGCAGGCAGGGACTCCTGAGGTGACAGGAAGGAGCTCTTTCAAATCATCTATTTATTACACAAATGTTGGTTGATGGCCCACAACTTTTGGAGTTGCGACCGTGAACAAGACAGACATCGGTCCTACGTCTACAGAAATTGAACCCAGAAAAATCCCACCATTTAAATCAGAAATGGGAAAGATTGGGGGGTGAGGGACAGAGAGGAATTATGGACAGAAGAAGGGAGAAAAGGGTGATATTTCCGGAAGGGAAAAGGTATATATATATATTGCTACATTTGATCCTTAAAGAGCTGTCCAATAATGTGACCGCAATACCCCCTAAACATAATCTTTTCTGCTGTGGACTCACTAACCCCGAGGGCAGACTAAGAAGCCAGCCCGGAGAGGCTGACCCAGCCCTCAAAACGGACAGTCAGGCCTTCTAGCCCACAGTTCAGGGGTCCTGGCAATGCCACAGCCTCTGCCTGCGGACACCTGGCACTTGGATAATGGTGGAATGGGAAATAAAGCCGGTCCTCTGTGAAGGGTAGGCAGGCTCACTTCGTTCTGGTTATTCTCCTTTACACTCCTAGACATCACCCCTCTCTGTCGTGTCTTGTGCCCTGGAGGATGATGTCTACGCCTGTGTCACCCAGTCTCTCTAGCAGGCCGATTTCCACCCAATGGGAGACGCTGAGAGGAGAGAGGTCAGAGAGCAAGGAGGGAAGGAGGTTGGGGTATTTCACTTTCCTTTCCCCCTGCTTCTGTAATGTCTCCGGTGGTAGCTGTGTCCCTCTGCAATATAATTTTCCCCGACTAGCCCTTTCCTCATGCAGTTCCAGCTCCCACTGGGCTTGGGGACACAATTTGCTACTCTTATCCCTATAGCTCTACGGGTGGTAAAGGCTTCCCATCACTGCTAGCGTCTGGACCACATTATCCCTCCTTTTTTCTTCTTCTTCTTCTTCTTAACCTTGCTCATACTTCCCATACAAGGAGTCGCTTCTCAGGGTCTCTGCATGTTACTCATCTGGAGTGAAGGCTGTTTCCTGCCACGACCCTGACTGAGAGTTCTTGAGCACTGAGGGATGCTGATAGGGAAGAGAGCCAGGGTGATTAAAAAAGACTTGGTCTAATTGCTATATGAGCCCAATGCTGGCCCTGTGTGGAGGAGCTTCTAGAGGAGGAAATGCAGGGAGTGCTTGGGAGCACAGCTCTAGGAAGTGTCACGATAACACCAATGTCGCTTCCGGTGTGTTGCTTTCATCGGCTCCACAGCCTGCAGTGGACCGCTCCTTCCTGTGTGCTCCCATAGCTCGTGTTCACAGTTTTTTAATTTCCTATCTGCAAAAATCTTCCCTTCCAGGCTCTCCTTAAAGCCAGGGAGACATTTCTTCCTTTTCCTTTTCTTTCTCTTTCCCCAGCACTACCTAGTGACCAATAGACACTTCATAAACGCCTCCTGAGTGAATTCATGTTCAGAGGTAATGTCCCTAAGAAATTAAAGTCATCTGACTGGGAGCCAGAGAGAACTTGAGCAGTAATAACGACTCTAAATTTGCAACTGTGGTTTACTGTAGTTGCAGAACTTGTATGAAAACAAAAAAACAAAAAATGATGTTTCATGCTTTACAACTCATCCTGTTCTTCATTTCAACCTGTGAGAAACTGTCCCTGCCAGGTGCAATCAGCTAGGGCCATGCATAGGATCTCTCTTGCATAGGCATATGTGGTTTGTATGCTTACTCTTGAAATAACCAACGTCAGTCTCTTGATATTATTCATAATTTTATGGATGCATCTCAATCTGCAATATCAATTTGCCTCATAAATGATGGAGTCCTTCACAGATAAAGACTAATCATGTCTAAGCCCCCTAAATTGACACCTGAGCTCGTGTAAAAACACACTTACAGATTATCTGTTTAGAAATGACCTTGAGTTCAAAGAGTTAATGTGGGGGGAAATGGGCCTTTGCTATAGACTTGACTAGACTTCAGTCTGTTTCCATGGAGCTGTTACCAAGGTACATGCAGTAGAAATTTCTCCAAGACAACGTTTTACTCCCCTAAGGCTCTCTTCTTCTTGGTTGACATGGAATCTGTCTCAATTGGAGAAATTCAAGTAATCTGTAGATATTTTTTCTGACTAGTTGGGATATCTATTTTCACTAAAATCCATTGACCTTAGCCATCCTCTTACCCCACTTGCTTTATGAAACCCAGATTGAGATAGATGACAAAGGACATTTTCCCTGATGTCCAAATTTATGTTTATTATCAAAACCCTTTCAAAAATATACGTATCAAATCAGGTTTTGTTATGACTTCAATAAAATTCACAAAATTGGAATTCTCCTGGGAAATATGAGGCATATGGTCATCATTGTACATGGAGAGTACTGAGAAGAAAACTCCCCCACCAGAGCTCATTCATTCATTTATTCTCTAATGGTCTACATGGTCCTACAGTAGTGTCCTTGCTATTCCTTAATCACAGCCTCCTCAAGGACTCGGGCTTGCTGTTCTTTCTGGAAGGTTCTTCTCCCATGACTCACTTCATTCACATCTCTGCTTAACT